CCACAAGCTACTACATGGAGATAACTTATTCCACAAGCTACCAATACATGGTTAGTTTTTTGGCCAAGTTTCTAACCTACAAACACATCTAAAATCAAAACCGCATCTATGAAGCTTCTAGGAAGCTTTTCTAGAAGACATTATGAAATTATTCTATATTAACATATTTCAACTTAATCATATAAGTAACTATTGAGGTAAATATGTATGTCCATGATATTACTGCTCCTTCTAGGGACGAGTTCCACGAGGAGTGGTCTTCATATGTCAAAGAAGTCCAAGATGCGACAAATCGTATTTGCTATATACTCCAATCTTTGCTCTCTTTGAAGATGGTTGATAGGTCTTCTTAACCATCTATAGTGTCCCATACCATGGCAAGAAGACCACCCTGTTATTTGGTCATTGTTGAGGCCTTCATAACTTCCTTCAAATAAACATTTGGAACATTGTCAGGGGTCGTTCCTACTTCTAATAAAATCACTAAACATTGGAATTCTCTTCCAAGGTCATGATACCAAACACATTCTATCTCGCCATCTATTCGAAGAAGGACATGTCATTCTTGAAGATCTTCATCTCAATTCCGTTGTCTTGAAGGTTGTGACAATCACAATGTCTCATCCATTAAGTCCACAAATGAAAGCTCTTGAGTTGAACCTGTTGGTCATTGGTGCTCCATCTTATCACAAATACATAGAAGCTACAATGAAAGATAGAAAGTAGAATGTTATTTTTCTTTGATCTTATTTTTTTTATAGCAAAGATTTGCTATTCTTCATCTTGGTTTTGATGGATGTCATTGATTAAAGACTTCAACTTTCTTTGTTGCATTTGTAAGATTCTTTGATGTCTCCTATGTGCGTTCACTAATATCATATCCGCACCAATGAATAAGATATTTCAACCTATTTTGGTACCAACTTGAGTCTAAGACTTCTTCCACCTCAAATCATAGATGAACATTGAATCATTTTTCAACAAAGGTACAAATCAAAAGAGAGCACTTCTAGATAAAAGTGCACCTAAAAATCCAACTTGATTTTAAACTTCATTATTGACTTCTTTTATAAGCTTAGGAATATTGTCTCTATAATTAACATTAGAAATATGAGAAGTTTCTATCATAAGAATATTGAAAAATTTTTGAAAATCCACAATAGTTACAAATTTATTTTTATTTTTACAAAAAATAATATCTATAATTTTTTCTTTTATAAAAAACTCAAATAAAGTCACAAATCAAATTAGAGAAGGATAATCTATATCTTCTAATATAAAATGAAGTTTTCATAAAAAGAAATTAGTCTACTCTCTTTAAAGAAAAAAAATCAATGTTAAAAAATTAGACTGTTAGTTCAAAAGTAGGTAGTCGACAACCTTTAAAACCCAATTATAGATGTGGCATAATTCACTTACTTATAAACAAAACAAGAACAATAAGTTATCATTCTTGTCGAACTATCAAAGACATAAATTTTAAAGAACCAAAAGATTAATAAACTCTTGTATGACTTGAAAAAACTAGATAATTATTCAAAGATGGTATAATATTATATTAAAATTTCTATTGCCAAAAAAAAAAAAAAAAGATTTAAAAGTCTTGAAGCAAGACTAAAAATAAGAAAGGCATTGATGAGAGTAAAGAAGACTTTACTCTTGCCTCTCCAAATACTATCTAATTAAGAGCTATGTGGCAACATTCTATAAGACTTCCAACATGTGTCTAACTTACAAGACGTGTGTTTCAACTTGCAAGGCAAGTTTTCTATATATGTGCCATATGATTAGCTTGTACTATAAACTACCAATATGTATAATATGTGGCTAATTTTTTGACCATGTTTATTATCTATCAATCAACAAAAAATACATATAAAGTCAAAGCTGCGACTATGAAGCTTCTAAGAAGTTTTTTTAAAAGATATTAAAAAATTCATCTACTTAAAATATGTGATTTTTATTAATAGATACTTAATTAATTGATTGATATTTAGTCTTTTATTTTAATTAAATATACATGAGCATATTCATGAATTTTTGTAAAATTGTTTCATTAATAACTTCTTATACAGCTTTTATAGCAATTCATATATGAGTAAAATAGATTGATGTTGTTTTCAATCCTATCAATATTTGTCTTATATTTTAACCATGTTTTAAGTCTTTCAAATCTTCTCAAATTGAAGAAAATTTCTTTTGATTATTTTTTATTTTAAAAATATATTACTAGTTTGATATCCTTATTATCATTTTTTATAGTATACATGAGTTAATTTTTTTTTTTATTAGATTTATATTTAGATAATTTTAATAAAAATAAAATATGATATTTTAAAAGAAGAAGTAGATTATAATCTTTGTATTATAAAACAATTTATAGTTGGAAATATATTTAATTAATTTATTTTAAAATTTTTACTATTTTTACTATTTTTGATTTTAAGTTTCATACTTTAAATATTCAAATAAAAATAAATAGATTAACATTTTATAATTACACTATTAGTATAATAAAATTAACAAAAATAAATAATAATACAAGTAATTTTTTATTTCATTAAGTTTTTATTTCATTAATTTTTCTTATTAGTACAATCAAAATATATTGATAGTAAAATAATGAATAAAAAAGGAATTTTTTTAAATAATTATTAACAAAAAATTTTGTTTATTTATTTAAAAATAGAAAATATATTTATATATTTATATATTTATATCGAAAATTTAATTATTCTAAATCTAGGTTTTGAAGATTTATTAACCGAGAAGATTTTTTTGATTTCTAATTACAAAATTAACAAATTTCAATACTTGAATTTAAGATTGTATAAATTTTTTTTATTTATTTGAAAACTATCTAGATTTTTATTATAATTATGAAAATAGAAAATAATACTAAATATCATAAATAAAATCCTAAAAATAATAAAATCTTTTAAAGAAATTAAATTTGATGGTCTTCCATGTAAATTATTAAAATAAAAAAATAAAAAAAAGATAAAAATTGAAAAAAATATATTAAATGGATGTCATTTGTATAGCATTAATTACTATCCAATTAAGTAGTTGAATTTCTTTTATCAATTAAATTTATTTAAAATAGGATATCACATTCTTCTTCTTAAAAATACTATATTATATTGATTATAATTTTATCTATTATTAATTATTCTTGATATTTTAAAAATTAAAAATTATAGAAATAAATATTTAATAATTTTATTTATTAATTTTTATAGAAAATATATATATATATATATATATATATATATATATATATATATTTTAAAAGCTAAATATATATCATACAAATAGTTAAAATATTCACATGTTTTTTAAAGATAAAATAAAATAAATAAATTAAAAGATTAATAGTTTGGAAAGAGATGAAAATTGATTTATTATTTCATTTAGTCCATTGAACTTAATGAAAAATTACACTATCAAATATTTTAATTTTTTTTAATCTATAATAATAGTAGTTTAGTTATTTAATAATTGCAATCACTTATCTTCTTAGAAATAAATCTTATCTTCTATGTCTTTTACTTCAAAACTTAAAAATTCATCATATCTTGATTATTTTGTTTACATACAAATTATCTATTAGATATCTTTTAAATTTTTAATCAACTTAAAATATTAATATTCTTTATAGAATTTATTTTTCAAAAAATGAAATGTCAAAGAAGAGATAAAATTATGAAATTATAAAATCATAAAATTATGAGATATCTTATTTTAATTAGTAAAAATAAAAAATAATAATAAGAAAAAATATTAAAGTTTACAACTTTTTTTGTGAATTATTGTAGAAGTTTCTTAAGCAAAGATTAGTTCTATAAGTACTACTAGGTTTGCCATGTGGTCATATAAACTTCTTTTAGAAGTTTGTTGGATATGACCATCTATCATAAAAACACTTTAGTAGTTGAATATTTGTTTTATAAGTCTTGTTGCCTTTAAAAAGTTTCTCTATGATCTTATTAAGCAATTTATATGAAAAAAGCAAGGTCATAGCCATCTTTAATCTTATCAATACCTTTGTTGTACTTCAATCTTACTTCAAGTTTTTCCAACCTTCTTGTACTTGACATCATTTCTAATTAATTTTTTATCATGAAAATATGTCCATATTTAAATTTTATTTCTTTTCCTTTTTCCGTTCATAGTCATACATGTATTAATTTGCTTTTGCCAAAATAATTTAATAATGGATTTAACAAATTGCAGCATACTTTTCAGATTTGTTTATGAATGTTAAATAAGAAAAGAAATTGTACAATTTAGTGCATTGCCCAACTAGTTGGTAACGTCGAAATGATGGATACTCGCTAGATTCTACTAAAAGTTAAGCTAGTCCTAATTATCATCGAGAATACTGCGTGAAGATGAAAACTCAGTCAACCAAGTCAGCCATCTGACAAAATTGCCTGATTCTTAGCTAGAACAAGATGCTGTCCGCTAAAAACTAGGTTAGCATCATTACGCGAAAAAGGAAGCGGTACCCTGATGCTAAAGCATCAAAGGTGCTGATGGATGGTGCAATCTACGCGAAATTGGAAACACTGGTGCCCAGTCATCTTACCCACTGCTCAAGCATGCAGGGGAAAAGCAGACAAAGGTACCCTATGCAATGACAAAGCGATACAAAGAAAGTCCAACCACACATCCACTTGTGGCCATTACAAGATTATTCTTTTACCAGATAAATCACCAGAATCATCACGGTCACAATAACTAGGTCCGGTCCTCAATCCTCCATCACCGGCAGAGCTGCGAGAATTTAAGCTTGAAGGGTGCAGAATGAGCATTGGTAAGTTGTTTGTAAAAAGATATGCTACACCATGAATTTTACAGCAGTATCTTGAGGTCGACAAAGCACAGACAGTTTAACTAACGTAACTTCCCAGCTCAGTTGCAGTTATCAATGCAATGGAGTTCCTATGATCATACAAAAAAAGGCTGCTCTATGCAGTGAGACAGTCTGCCAACGGTAGAACTAAAACCAAGAGATGACAGAACACCCAAGTTAATTAATATGGTACATCGAGCCTACAGACGGCGGGCCATCCGGCGACACAACCAACGACTCCAAACATGTTCAACAGTCCACAGAAACACCCAATCGGCAGCCCACCCTAACCAGTGACTGAGCCCGTGCGCAGGTCCATGTCAGCAAGGGCCTTGCTCAAGGACATGAACTTCAAGATGCAACTTTTATGTCAAGAACTAGACTTGCCTGCCATGTGCTAAACCTGCTACAGCTATGTGCAGAACATCAGACACTAATGTACCTTCAGTATCACACAAGCTAGTGAAACAGCATGCTCCGGGTACATTTTTCCATTTTCAAGGGCCCAAAGAGATGCAGACCTCTCAAAAATGGTTGTTGCTGTTCATTCGTATCGGAAGGGTGATCAACCTAAAAGCTCCGTGTAGTGGCTAAAGGATCGTAATCATAGGCTTGTCCTGCCTTCACAAACCGACCCTTCACCCTCTTGCGGATGTCTGCACGGGCTTTGCGAGACTCGTACCGAACCCTTTTGTCAAACCTGCAGTATTAGACGAGATATCAGAAAGATATCTGAACATAAAACTGAAGCCTATCTCGTACGTAATTGCAACAAAGAGCCAAACAAACTCGCACGTTTTAATTCAAAAGGGAAGGAAGTCGGAACAAGCCTGCGATTCTTTCTCTTCTCTTTGTAACGAAGCATTGCAGAGTCACGTGCTTGGGTAATGGAAATACTGTCTGGACTCCTCGAGCCCAAAGAAGCCTCTCCGGAGCTGAAAAACAGAGGTGATGCATTACAGTCCTGGTAGTCGCCGCTGTCACCGCTCCGTCCAGAAAATGTCAGGGAGCGACTAATTAAAGCTGGCCTTGCCGAAAACTGCGACCCCATGTTACAGGAAGTTCCATCCATGTCGTTCATTGCCATTAAAACTTCCATGTCATGAAGTTCAGGTGGCCCTGGGCCAGGACCTGCTGGCCTAACCATGTCCTCCCTGAACTTGATATCATTGGCTGTGCTTGCAGTACCCTACAGATATTAGCAAACAATTTCGAGGATCAGTGATGTGGCACTGAACTTCATGCTATAATCGTAATTAATGAGCTCTCTGATCCTGGAAGGTTATTATCTGGCTCGTAAGCTACCTAAAACCTCAAGATATAACCCTGGACATGTCATGGTAAATTGAGCAAGAGAGCATACTTGATTGATGGGTTTGAAGAGTTCTGCTTCAGGAATGCTCTGCATACGCGCATGTTCGTTGCTACCATTTGCGGCGTCTTGACCTAAGGAAGAGCGTCGTGGGCTCATTTCTTCAAACGTAGACCCAGAAGGGGCTGTGCCGCTGGAAAACATTTCTTCGTAATTGTCAAAAAATAGATCCACATCAGCCATACTAAAATCGTCACATGGATCGGCCACGTCTCCACACACTCCCAAGTCCTGCATGTTCTGTCCCCACATCTACACAGCCAGCCATAAGGAACAGTTACGCGATTTGCAAAATGGGCATAGGCCAGTCACAATTGCGACGGAAAAATTTGACAATCATGAAGTACCAACGAAAAGAGTATTAGAACTCAGGATATTATACCTGAGTGGCTTGAGTTAAAGCATTGCTCCGCCAGAAGGAGTCCGTTCCACCTTGGTTTACGATATCATTTGGTCCAATCTCCAGCTTCATCGACTGGCCATCACCAACTACAGTACTAGATTCACCTTGAGAATTTTGTGCAGACTGCTGGTCCGAGTGTACACGAACGGGAATCGGTGAACACTGCTCAGACTCTTGCTGTTTCTGGATGCTAGTCTGAGTTTCCATGCATTGTCGTTTTGCCTGTTGATCCGACAATGACGCCGGGGAAGGTCGCGACAGGTCCTGGACCTGGAGAACTTGAAGCTGCTGAGAAATTCCTTTTTCAGCACTAACCTGTTCTTGTTGCCCCACTTCTGGATTACTCGTGAGAACTGAACTCTGGTACATAGGAGATGTGGTGTTAAGAAATACAAAAAAGCAAGTGCTATCGTCCATGTACAAACAAATAAACTCATATTATAACGAACTTCTCTACATCTCTAGCTCCTTCGTATCCCATATCTAAACAATGCATACAGGAAGCTAGTGGAAAAGAAGAATCACATGTACACGAGGGAAAATATTGACAAAAACTTTCCAGGATGAATCTACAGAAAAACTAGAGCCTTTGAATATCAAACTAACCCTTAGAAATATTAGGGCTATGTAATGAAGTTTAGAAGCGACTTCAGACCAGAGACTGTTGATTTCATCCCTCACATATCGAAGAGCTCAACAAGCAAGGAAAGAAGGAAATAAAGCACATTGGTATCTACCTTGGCAAGCGGAGGAGGCACGACGCTAGACATGTTAATAACGCCAGCAATTCCTGAACTGGATTCCACCCTTAGTGCCCTACTCATCTGGTTCTCTCTTACTGCAGTCGACCTGGTGGGGGTAGAACCAGAAATTCCTCCCCACTGACTGTTCAACCCCCGAGGGGAGTCTGATGCAATGGTCGCACCAACATCACTGCGGTCATCGCAAGCCCACAGAGCTGCAAGCTCAGTTGCAGAAGGGCACCCAGTAAAGCACTCCAAAACGTGCCGCTGGTGTTGAGCGGAAATTACAGAAGAGTTATGTGTGTCGTCGTCGCAGGTTTGACAAAAACAACTTTGACAGGTTGTGCAGCGAACCACAGCAGGGCGTATGTTGCAGCCATGACATAGCAAAGTGCGAGAGTGACGCTGCGACAGTGCATTTGCACTGTGTACGTGCCGGTCACACGAAAGGCAGAGCAGAGCTGAGTCCGCTCGGCAGTACACTGTTGCCTGGCCTTCCCCGCAAAAATCACACATAGTCTCCATCGCCAAAAAATATCAAGCACTTCCTACAGTCTGGCTCGAGCTCCACCACTTACTTACTAACTTCAAGTCCAGATTTTCACAAGTGCATGTGCGACAAGATGCACCCTCGCGCTAATTCCGCACAATGCTCGGGCCGAGAAAATAAAACGCAGAGTATTCACAAATCCAAAGTTGAGTTCGTAGTAGTTCAGAATCCTTCCTGTTAAAACCAGTATTCAAATTGTAGCTCCTAGTCCCACTTCAGTGATACCCCTTTTCGCCTATCCCTGCTCGTTGATACAGTGGATATTACCTTGATAACATCACCAAATTTCTAAAGTCCCTATCCAAGAGTCTTAGCAATGCCTTTTGACCACTCCATGGCTTCGCAACTATGTTTCAATCTTCCGCTTCTCCTTACATGCTGGTACACTGACTGCGCTCCTCGTCACGTACATCTCAAAGAAAAGGAAACGAAAAACTAAAGTCAATGGTTGCGCTAGCAGTATCTGAGAAAAGAAATATACTGACCTGTTCAAATGTAAAGCCAGACTGAAACTCACAGTGTGCATGATGCAATATTTACACAAAATATCAAAAGCACGATGTCCATGATCATGTGCACGTGCCCTCAATCGGTTGCTGGCATCAAGACCAGCAGCTAACCATTCAGAAATGTTGAATTGACCGAGATAACCCGGACTGACTTCCATAACATGCTCCTCTATTTCGGCGGAACCAACAACACTACTAATTCACAAAGTAGATTAAGAACGTTCGAAGCTCCTCATATCAATATGTGAACCCTCTAGTGTAAACTTCATGTGAGCGTCACACAAGGATGACTGCAATGTTACTGATGCCACTGGATTCAACTAGTACGAATCTTCTGGAGGAACTTCGAGGATTGGATATGAAAGAAGAGAGGAAGAGACTGTGCTTCACAGCGATGTAGATCAATGCTAACACTTCAATCTACAATCAAAACAAGTAATGCAATGCTAACTTCATAAACTTACTGTGCAATTAGCACTGTGTGATATCACAGAGTCATCGCACTAAAAACATGCAGATAATGGAGAGTCGTAGAGCTCTCTGCAATTTCACTCATATCCTGATACATATGATCCAGCCAAAAGGGCAAGAAACCAAAGGGGGAAACCCAAAGAGAGGAGGGAGCTATGACAAAGTAGAACACTGACCTCGCATCAATTCCGGTTCAAACGGCAACATCTTCGCAGAAAGAGCTCCTAAATCTGCCACTACGAGAATCCGCACACTAAATCGTCAAAACATGTACCAAAGTCAACTTCACCAGAGCGCACACGACTGATTTACTACATGTACGCGCTACCACACACGCACTCCACCAAAACGGCCACAGCCACTTAATTCCTTCTAAAACCCCTCCATTATCTACGCACAGTATCTCCGTCACTCTCTGAAACGGTCCTCGTACACCCACCCCGCCCCTTTTATCATGCTCAGAGGTAACACCTCCGAGCGCCTGTTTCTAATGACATTCTCTACGATCTCACTTTCTGCTCCACTTCCCTCCAATTACTACCCGTCGCAGGCCACCTCGTCTCCAAATGTTGCGCAATCCAACTAGCGAGCCTCTACTTCACATGTCCACTGACCCAATTCAACCAAAAAAAAAAAAAAAAAAAAAAAAAAAAAAACGCCAACTTCATACGACTTGGCGCAACTGACATGGACAGATCCTAGTCGCATTCCCGTTCTGCGAAATCCCCCCGATCGCCTCATAAAAAACAACGCCCCAATACCTTCACACAGTGACACCTCTTGTGCTACATGAAACACACGACAGAGAGAGAGCGAGAGAGGAAGAGGAAGAAAACGAGCAGACGTGATGTACCTAGAGGTTCAAGTACGGAAGATGGACGAGACGTGCTAGAGCCCACACAAGCACTTGCAGGAAGAGAGCGAGGAGGGGGGGGGGAGGAGAGATGCTAAGAAAAGGGTGTAGATGAGAAACAAGAGATGAGAGGGGAGGGTGAGGGAGGAGAGGAAGGCAGAGGGCGATGCAAAGGGGAAAGAGGGAAAAGAAAGCAGAGCTTGAATGTGAAGGAAGGAAGGAAGGAAGGAAGGAGGGAAGGAAATAGAAGAGAAGAGTAGAGTCGAGTAGAGTAGGGAAGAAAGAGGGGGAAGTGAGGAAAGCGACGAAGGGGAAGAAGAGGAAAGGATAGATGGGAGAGGTTGGGGGGCAATGATGGCAGGCAGGCAGGCAGACAGGCAGGCGGGGAAGATGGGTTGGGAGTAGGGCTGCTGGGCTGGCACTGACGGGTGTCTTTTTCGTTTGCCTGGGGCCCCAAAAGCAACAACCCCAAAAGAGGCTCAAAAGCGCACGAAAGAGCCACAAAAGCGCCGAGGCTTTTCCCACGCATGACGAGAAACCACAAACAGGGTGGGGTCTATCTCCTCGGGCCATCCCCACAAGCTCACGGTTCCACAACGCCAATAAATCCCCCTCCCTTCTTCCCCCTTCCCCCTTCTCCCTTCTTCCCCGACTATCACTGCTGCGTCTGCGCTTTTGCAACTCCGCCTGCTGGCTCGCTGGCGCAACTCATCGTCCTCATGCTCTGGAAGATACCATTTCATCCCCATCGCCGCGCCGCGCCGCGCCGCTACCTCTTCCTCCTCTGCCGATGAAGGCCCTTCTCACCCAGGTATGGTGTTAGCTTCGGTACCGAGGCTAGGACCCAATGGGAGGTCTGGGAATGGGTTCAGTCCATCCCTTTACCCGATTGCTACTATTGTGGTCAGGGTCAGGTTAGTAGACAGATAAAAAGATAAACTAATTGGGGACATGAAAAAGAAAAAGAAAAAGACAGTGTTGATAAATTCGCGTTTGAATTCGGAGGTGCTTGCCTAATTGGCCTGCTGCCACCTCAGCATGATCCACCTTCCATAAACGTCCATTTGTTCTGTGTGCCATGAGAATCCTTGAACGGAGTAATATATATTAATGATAATGACTACCAAAATACAAATCTAACTGATGCGTTCATGGACTTACTGCTGCTCAGCTTGTTAATAAAAACCAATTGAGCAAGTAATGTGTGATTTGTGAACTTGACGGGGTTTCATAGAAGACTAAGTTCTGTAGAGAAAATGGTGCTAGAATATGGTGAATTTAAGCATATGATTATGCTTTTAAAAGTCTGTGAGTGAACAGAAAAACCACTCCAATAATACCCTACGAATAAGAATGGATCAAATATATCCATCCTCTGACTTGGCTCGTGAAAAACAATACATCTCCATAGGAAATATGTTCTAAATTAAAATTTTCATCTTTTTTTCCATGAGGAAGTGGATTTGCAACGGTGTAGATTTTGAAATGACTCCAAAGCCATAAAAACTAACCTGACCCAGGAGAGTGACACGTGACCATTCAAACCCATCAGAGCTTTGTGGGGAAATATAATAGAAAACAGACAAAAGAAAAAGTTGACGAAGAAAGAAGAAGGAACCAAGAAACAACTAACTGCAGAAGCGGCTGCTTTTCACACTAAAATACAATATTGTAGTGATTATCCTCTTGCTTTATTCGTTTTTCTACTTATAAATAAAATATTGGAGAATAGTTGCAGGAATAAATTAGTTACGTCGAGACGTAGAGTTTTTGTAATGGGAAATTGAACCCCTCTGCAGATGATTTTGGAATGTTTTTTTATTATTAATACTAGTGTTTAGTGTTATTATTTAAAAATAAGATCTGATATTATAGGTTGTCAGAACACAGTGTTAAAATCAACCATGTACAATACAGATATTTAAAGACCTCCCCACAATGCAATGAATGTGTTGCAAAATGCTAATGATGTAACTATAACAAGTAACCAACTGCACCAACCAAAGTGCATATATACAATTTCATACACACATGTACATGCATGTGAAGTTGATGATTAATATCGTATGGAAACATGCCATTGTTTCCATCAATCTAATTGAAAAATGTAGAAAGCATTTGATACATAAAAAAGCATCAAACTTTACAAAGATAGTGATTAGACCTTGCATAATTATTCTAATTTTCTACCATTTTTTGTTTGTCTGTTTTCTGGTACTATTACAGTTGTTATATTCTTACTAAATTATACCTGAAACATCTGCCTAAATATTTTTACTGTAAACTGAACAATAAAAACAATATTGCTTAATCAAGAGTATGAAACCAATCAACAGAGCTTATACTGTCAAAAGCACTATCCTCATTCCCTATATATATGTATATATATATATATATATATATATATAAAACAAAAAAAAAAAACAATATTCAACAAACAACAACGAGTTGTTAAAAAAGGGATTAAACCAAGTAAATGAAGTAACTTCAAGTTGTGATCAATAGATGAGGGTTTCTAAAAATGCTAGTTATTTATGAATTTATTAAAATTTATTAATGTAATTCCTTTAGGAATTGAGCATGTCTCGATGGCCTGCATGCAAAGCGACGTCCAAGAGGCTTGGGGCTGACTGCAGGGGGAGGATCCAGTTTCTGTCGGAAGAAGCGACGGATGAGGATGATAAAGCGTAGCCACGTCGGCTAATTCCATCCGTAAGATAAATTGGGGGGGGGGCACACTCTGTTACATATAATTGACTGAGGATGGTGATGACGATGACGATGATGCTGTGGTTGCTTGGCTTTTGTGCAGTGAGCCGAGGCTCGCAGTGGCTTTCGCACGCAACGGAAGATCCGCTCCTCTGGAACCCCCCCCCTCCCCACGCACGATGATCACCATGTCTCCTACGCCGCACACGGAAGGACGGAACCCTACCCAGCACGACGAAATCATTGAACGGGGTAAATGAATTCGTTTCCGACGATTGGCTTTGTTCGTTGGTTGCATGATGCCGGTCCCGCATCCTAGGCGGGCTTATCCGATCATCTCTGCTCCAATCTCGAAATGGCGCCTCCATTGGTTGGTCCCTGGATATGCGCAGCTACGAAGTGAGCACACCCTAACTGAACCCCCCCCCTCCCCAAGTATCTCTGCTGGATCTGAATGTCGTGCGAGAGAGAGCGGGGGGAGGGTGTGGATGCGCCGCTCTCGGCCTCGCACTGGGTCTCGAGCATTCCTGTCGTCGATTCTCGTGCGAACAGATTCTCGCCACGTTGGGCATCGCAGCCCGGCGCACCCAACGAATGGGAACTTGTTGCTGATTCTCTCCCTTGTCGATGTCCTTTTGAAGCTGGGAAGAGCAGTAGAGCCCAAGGTCGGAGCTAGGTCGCAGGACATGGATGTCCCGCATTGGGTGCATCCCCCCCGCTTTCAACATCCCCTGCTTCTTCTTCGTCATCTGCTACTTTCTTCTTCTTTGTTGTTGGTGTTGCTGTGCTATTGGACATCCGTTGTAATGAAGAATGAGTAGCCTTCGTTTGTTGTACAGTTGTAAAGTTTGTCTCGACCGTGTTCCCATTATATGATTTCAGCATTCATTGCTGACTGTGCTTATTTTTTTATTTTTTTATTTTTTTAAAATTTAATTTTTTACTGTCCATGACTTGTATAACCATGTCCTATTCATATATACTTGTGTACAGGTAATATTGCTATCCCATTGAGTTTCAGTTCTTTAGATTGGACGTTTACATTAAACTTGATGTTGGTTCTTTACATTTAATTTCGGGTGTTGGATCTAATTTCTCATGTACAACAATGATATCAGTGGACAAATACATGAATAATCCCATAACTTTTGTAGCATGGTCCAAAGCAAATTATGTGATATTAAATATGTAAACACATGCAATAATGTACAATAAAATAATGATATAAAACACAAATGAAAAGTACATAGACTTTTATTCTTATAAAATGGTAGTTGATTTAAATAATATTTTAAAAGCTTTATTTTTTATGTATTTTATACATATTTTTTGAAGATGGTGATTAGAGTACTTAACTTTGTTGTTAAATGGTCAAAATATATTGTATCATAATTTCCATACACATTTATTCTGATGGCAAATAAGAATACAGTTTAATTGGGTCTTTGAAAATAAAACAAAATTAACTGAATCATACTGTCAAGTGCTCAGTTTATTCAAAGATGTATACCATTAAGTGTAAATTTAAAAAACTGTAAAAATGACAGAAATAATAGTTCATTAATAGTTTTTCTGTTTTGCATGCATGTACAAAAAATAAACCAATAAATGCATTTTTTTCATTGTGAAACAGTGAAACATTTCTTTTCTACATAACATACCAACAGCATGTTAATTTTTTTTAAATGCATTCAATCAACCCCATCAATGATAGAATTCTTTTCAGGGAATTGACTAATCACAATTAGATCCAACATTGCAATTGCACTGTACGCTGCTTATGAAACTTGTGTGCTGTTTTCTCCCTCAGACAGCAAGACTCCACACACAAACACTCTCTCACTCACACCCACTCACACACACACACTTCGAGTGGGGTTACAGCTGTGAGGGTTACCCTTCATGAGATTACTGTGTTTTTGGAATCACCTTCACATTAATACGGTTGTATATATATATATATATATATATATATATATATAAACAAGTGTATGTGTGTGTGAGAGAAAGTGAGAGAGAGAAAGAGATATGCATCGATGTAGCTTTTAATTATATTCTGAAGTTTCAAAGAAGCCCACAAAACGACACAGTTGTATCACTCCATTCAAGAAGGAAATGCGTCGAACATGATGTTGGGAGAAATGAAGGTGAAAAGAAATCAACGAGAATTAGTTGGATACAGTGAAAGGGAAACCAGTCCTGCACTGAAAGGCCTCAGAAGCCAGCTTTGCTCTGCTGTGAGCACGCTAGAATCTTGCAGCTCGAGCACATGGATTTGCCTTGTTAGAGCTCCTATTTCACGCACACCTCTTTACAGTCGCACCCAAGCTCTCACAATGCATGCCGCTCCCAGAGCTCTTCTCACCAGCTGGGTCCTTTTGGGTTGAACGTAACAGCAGATTACATTTCTCATGGTGCATGGCCCACTTATGTGTGTTGAATTGTGCCAGCTGTTGATGGGTTGACGAATGCAGGCCACGGAATGAGCACCACGGTTGCCTTGCGACGTTGTCAGCAGTATAGGTTTCTCGCACACGGGCATACA